CGTCAAACTTGACGTTTTTGTAATTAAAAAATCAAAAAAATTAATTTTTCTAATTAAAATAATCTTGATTAATAGTATTAAAAATAAATATTTTTACGATACAGTAAAATTACAGTTTTTCTGTATAAAACTCAAAATTGGTATTCTAAATCTAACTTTTAAGATTAATTAAAGTTGTAGCCCTAATAAAGTTATAAATAATTAAAAATTTACAGACTTATATAATGAATGGATAAGTCTCACACCTTAATTTCGTGCTTAATTTTAACGATTTTAACAGTTTATCTATGTATGACTCAAAAACGGCATTCTAAATCTACTTTTTAAGATTAATTATATTTGTAGCCCTAATAAGGTTACACTTAATTGCAAATTTACAGACTTTACGTAATAAATGAATAAGTCTCCCGCCTTAATTTCGTGCTTATTTTAACGATTTTAACAGTTTATCTATGTATAACTTAAAATTAGCATTCTAAATCAAACTTTTAAGATTAGTTAAATTTGTAGCCCCGATAAAATTACATATAATCCTTGCATTTGGGATTTCTTTAATTAATAGCTCCAGAAATGTTAAAAAAGTTCATAAAAGTCAAGAAAGTTTTGTGCTACGCAAAACAAATGTTTTTACTTATAGATCGGCATAATGCATTTATTCAATTTTAATATGAAAATTACGTTTACACCACTTTTGATTATATGTTAACTACATGTTTTTACAATATATTTTATCATGCAAGATACATTATGTTATATTCTTTTTATAAATCAATTTATTTTTACTATTGCTATCATTTGCAACTTACCCAGGAATGAACGATTTAAACCATCCAATATATTAACATTGGCATTAATCCCAGGACCAAATGATCCATCATTACATCGCATAAATTGCTCTGGTGCTATATTGGGAATTTTCTTATAACAATAGTTTTAAATAATCTTAATTATAAGTAAAAAGTGTGTAAAATTACTGCACCACAAAAATAATTAATTTTACTTATAATTAAGATTATTTAAAACTATTGTTATAATAGTAAAAATAAATTGATTTATAAAAAGAATATAACCTAATGTATCTTGCATGATAAAATTATGAAATGTATTAATCTTAAAAAGTAGATTTAGAATGCTAATTTTGAGTTTTATATAGAAAAACTGTAATTTTACTGTGTCATAAAAATATTTATTTTTAATACTATTAATCAAAGATTATTTAAAACTGTTGTTGTAGCAATATTAATAAATTAATTTTTTTAAAAAATAAAATATTTGTTTATTATGGTATTAAAATATTTGAAAAATTATACCTGTTAGGATGTAATGTTATATTATATATAAAATTAAATATTATTTATTTTATACATATATAAAAAATTTTAACATTACAATAGAGCAGATTATCTTACTATCTAGTGATCAGATTTTATTGATCTTTGACTTATTAGATTCATCTTATTAAGTCAAATCAAATGTTATAATTTTATAATTATTAGATTAATATTTATTATAAGATATTAATTGAAGTACTGTTAATTTTATCTTATAATCTAATGATCAGAAACTGATAATTTATAGCTCATTAGATTTATCTTGTTTAGACAAATATAATGGTTATTAGATCATAAAAATTGGATTATTATTGGCTGAGATATTATGGTTTGAAATTTAATAGCAATTCAAGGGACATGCTTGCTGACCGTAAAAAATTTAATAATAAATAACAGGTTTGCACAGTTTTTAATTGATTTAATAATTAAATGGTGCAAAAATGTTTTTTATTATCTAAACATTTAACAAAAAATGGTTCATGCCATTTCTTTATTAAACCATTAAAAAAATGGTGCATACCCATTATTTGTTATCAAATTACTAATTAAAAATAATGGGTTTACACCATATTTATTATCAAATTGCTAATAATTTAATAATGTAATAATGTGAACTCTTAAAACTTCATAGATTATATAAATTAGTTTTAACCCTTACAATTTAAGGGATAGTTAAATAAATTATAATGTTTAAAAGCTCACTAACTTGTACTTAATTACCCTAGTTTATGGTAATAAAATTTTTTTTTCGATAGTAGCTTTCATAGTGCTTTTTTTTTTATCATAGTAAATAAATTATTAACAAATAATTACGCTTATCATTTTTACCATTTTGTTAAATACATGATTACGTACATGATCATCACGTTTTGTTTTTAATTTTTTTTTTTTTAAAAAAAAATATATATTAACCTGCCATCTGTAGAGAAGCTAACTGCAGATCCAATACTTGAAGCTTGAAGCTTGAAGCTTATGATTAAGCCTACACTTAAGTATATGCTTCAAGCTTCAAGCTTAATATAAAAATGCTGGAAAAGTTTAAGCTATATTTGGGCATCAAACAAACCATATATTGAATTTCATGGTTAGTTACGATCAACAAATTTATTAAAATAATCCTACGATTAAAGCTAGACACATTAAACAGGCTTTTCAGCATTCTTATCTCCAAGCTAAATAACAACAAATTAATATAATAATAGTCCGGGTCCGGGTTGGTAAATAGGGGTCAATGCAGACCTCTAATTCGGACCTTTGAAATTAGCTGTAGCAGGCGCAGCAAAATAACAAACAACACAAGAAAAAAGGTGGAGTCATCTTTCTTTTAGAAGTATTAAATCTGGCTGTTCTCCTTTTTCTGCAAATTTTTTATCCAGATTATTTATCACACTTGTTTTACCAACTTCAATTATTACTAAATTTGGTCTAGTTGTCAATAATTCTTTAACACTTTTACAATTAATCTAGAATTACCATTCCTTTTTAGAATCTTCTTTTCTGATCCTGTTTGATTCATTTTTAAAAATAAGAGAATCATCATCAAAATTATTTATATAATCATCAAGTTCATAGGATAGTACAATAAAATTTTCTTTGATGCTCACCGCTATTTTCAATTATAATAGAAGTGCAAAAAGATGGAAAATTGAAAGAGTTTAAAAACTTTATCTTGACATCGATCATCACCTCGATCACGTTTTTGGCAAATGTCACGTGCCTGGGCTTTTTTTATTTGTGTTGCATGATCGACATCAACCCAACCATTTTGAAAAACGGAAGAACTTTTAGAAGGAATTTGCAGAACTCCTATAAAGAATGATCATGACTGCCGATCTGCAGGATGCATATAGATTCTGCAGATTGGTGGATTATGTTTGTATTACAAAAAATAAAATATATACTGGGAATGACAATACTGAAAATTTTTTAAAAATAATTTTTTTTTAAAAAAAAAATTTTTTCTTAAATTAAAAAATATGGCAAAAAAAACTGATTTGGCGATTGAAGCAACTACTGCTGTAATTGATTACACTGACACAATCATTAGTTCTGTTGAGCTAACAACATCAGTAGTTATTCCTCTTTCACAATTCATTCCGCTCATTAGAGATGTATTTGAAATTTTTTCGAAAGTTACGGATTTATATAGGTCAGCTCAGCATAATAAAAATATTACCATGATTTTAATGCAACGTATCTCTACAGCAAACATCTCTGTTAATATTTTACAAGCAAGAGAAGATTTATTAACTTCGATTTATTATAAAAGTTTACAAAGATTGGTTCAAGTTCTTCATAATATGATTAAATTCATTGAAGATATAACACAATATAATACGGTGCAAAAGTTTTTAGGAGCTAAAAAGATTGAAAATGGATTTAAAGAATTATGTAAAGAATATGATAGCAGTATGACTTTGTTAAATTTTAACCTATTGGTCAATTTTAATACTGAAAATGAAGATATTAACCTATTGGTCAATTTTAATACTGAAAATGAAGATAAAATTGTGAAAGAAGATGTAGAACAACTTGTAAAATTTCAAGAAGCTTTAGTAGAAAGTATGAACGATGTGAAACAAAATGTCTTTCACACAAATGATCAGATGAACTCAGTCGTTGAACGAATCAGTGAAATGGCAATAACTATGCATAATATGCAAAGTATGATGGGCAGTAAAAAAGAAGATGCAGATCAAATTCAAAACAAAATCGATATCATCTTTCGTACTGATAAACTTCCATTCAAAGATTATGAAGAAGCTGACGAAATTAGTATACGTGGTGAAAGATTGAGAAAATACATTCAAGTAAAAACTAAAGAAGAATTTGCTTTCAAGGTTGTAGATCAATATCATATTAATAAAGTTAAAAATCAAGTCACAATTCTTATGAAACTTAAGGATTGCCAAAATATCATTAATTTCTATGGTCTTACTAGTGATGGATTTAAAACTTATTTAGTAACTGAATGGGCAGAAAAAGGAAGCTTACGTGAATATATTCTTAACCATGAACAAAACATTGACTTAAAATTGAAAATAAAAATTGCTTATGATATTGCTAAAGGTTTGAATTTCCTTAATTCTGTCAAGGTAAAAATCGCATTTGTAATTTAATTTTTTCATTTCAAATTTTCGAACTTTAAAGTATTAACAAGCATAAATGTTAACTTTTAATAGATGGTTCATCGGGATATTAAATCTGAAAATATATTAATTACACATCATGATATTGCTAAAATTACAAATTTTAGTAGAAGATTTGATGATGATGCTGGTAATATTGAGATATCTAAAGAATATTTTCGATATAATGCTCCCGAAATTTTAAGAAGAGGATTTACAGGAGAAAAGGAGAAAAAAGACAAGTATTCTAAGTATGATACCAAATGTGAAGTTTATAGTTTTGGTATTCTCCTTTGGGAGATTGCTGAACGTAAAATTCCATACGAGCAATTCAAAGATTTTATTGAAGTTATAAGAAAAGTAGTAGGTGGGTATCGGGAAAAATTTAGAGCTGGTACTGATATTCCGAAGAAATATCAAGATCTTGTAAATAAATCTGTTGATTCAAATCCGGGTTCTCGACCTATATTCTCAAGGATGTTAACAGATCTTCAGGATATTTTCAGAAATCTTGAAGCACCCACAAGTCGTCCCATTAGTAACATAGCTCCTCCTGTACGAAAAATGACTCAAAGTACAATAGAAGCGATAGAAGATTATGCAATTAATTTGGATTCAGATTCATTTAACACGGTTTGGGATTCATTTGATTATATGACGCTTAATAAAGCAATTGAACTTCATAAAACCGACAGCAAGAAGGATAAGAAAATATTATATAAATGTTTTGATACTTATGCTGAAATGGATAATCCAAAAGCAAAATATTGGAAAGCTTATTATATTTCAAAAGGTTGGTCTAACCTTGAATGTTCTGAAAAGGAAAAACATAAATTGTCTGTTCAATTATTTAAAGCAGCTGCTGATTATGGTGAAAAGTTTCCTGATGCTCAACTCCGTTATGCATTAATGGTTATGCAAGGCAAAGGTGTCAAACCAGATAAAGATGAAGCGATTAAATATTTTCTTAAAGCTGCTAAAAATGGACATTTCGTAGCTATGTTTAACATTGCCACTTATTACTACTCTATACACGAATATGAATTAGGGAATTATTATATGATAAGTTCTGCTAATAAGGGCTTCGAACAAGCAATTAACTATTGTAAAAAGAAAAATATTTCTTATTAATTATAGATTTTTTGTATAAAGTTTTATATTTGTACTCAATAAGTATTAGAAAATTACACTCTTATATCTAAGGATTCTCGAGGAAGATATAGGAATATAATAACGGGAGGGTTCAATTTTAGCCAAAATTTTTTATGGGTATTAGATAAGTATTAACCGAGCTTAAATTACTGTAGTAGTAATTATTCGAGTGTTTAAATAAGTCAAACATATTTAATTAAATCAAATGATGCCGAAGCTTGCTTTGAAGATATCATATGCTTCTTAATTTTACTGTGTGCATAATAAACCATTATAAATACATTATTTTGAAACTATTATTAATGTAACTATAAAAAATTTTCGCAGTTTTTTGTCTATTTTAATGAAATCCATAAATTTTAATATTTTTTTTTGGACCGGAAGTTTATATTCAATAATAAAATTGTAACACTTAAAAATCACTCAGCATTTTAAAAAACATCTAAAAAAATAAGTTTGTAATTTTGCGTTCAATACATTTTAGATTTTTAGAAGCACTGAAGTGTCAACTAATATAGTAATATGTTCATCATTTACATAAATCGTTATTGTCGGTTAATTATTACGAAAAATATTATTCCTTCGCCCAATATGCGTGCGAGATCGATAATAACATTAATTAATTATCTTCTATCATTTATTACTTTTTGTAATATTTTTGAAAGGTGATGCAGCTTTGGGCAAGCTATCGATTATTGTTGAATAGTGTTTAATATATAAATGGAATACCATTAACGGGAAAAATTATCTTTAAATTTAGAATAGTAAACATGTTAACGTGTACTATTTCTCAATATACAGTTCATATAAACCCAATTAGCCGACATCAATATGGCAAAATTCTTATCCCTATTGTGTGATTATGTCTGCTGAGGTTCTATTAAATCGTCATCGTATATATACAATATTCCAATTATTAGTTATATTATAAATTATGTCTTTTTTTTTATTTATTTAAAAGAGATTTCAAATTAAATAATCCTGCCTCAGTCTATTAGGATTAAGTAATGTAAAATGATACAATTAAAAGAATATTGCATTATAAAAAAAAGGAATGTTTTAAATTACATTACAAAATGAATATTATTTGAAAAAATATAGCCAGACTAAAGCATACTCAATAGTCGACATGGATACGTGCATCACATATTTCTCTTCGTATATATGATCTTTATCATCAACCTATAATACTTTCCTTCACTATAATTTCTCAGCCTAATATAAATACCATACGTACTATTGGCTAATTTTTCTAATTCAATATATCCGACTGAACTACTATCTGGTATACCGTTATTTAAAAAATCCTTACCCGAATTTATCGTACTCATTTCAATGACGCAATGATCTTACCTAAATAACTAAAAAAATATTTGTAGAGATTATTCATTGCTATTATTAATCATATCCTCTCTTGGGACAATATGATTGGGTCATCGCAGCAGATCGCAATCATCGCATCTCCAGCTAAAGTATAACGTGCTTTGTTTTTTTACTTTTATTTTTTAATATTTTTTTTCGGTTCTTATAATTCCGATTATTAAAGACCAAAATTATTTTCGAATTTTTTTAAAACTGAAAAAATTTTTATTTTTTCGGTTTTTTATTCTCAGTTTTTTTTTTCAAGTTTTAATAATAATTAGAATTAACAAAAAAGACTTTTTTACTATTGTTATTGTTTTATTATTCGTTTTTTATTGTATTTATTATAACTAACACTAATAAAAAGACAAAAAATTTGGTACAACATTAAATAATAAATATTTTTTCATTCCTTTTGTATTTAAAGCAAATTACTCATTCTTAAATGAGATTTTTTAACTTGCTCAAAATCTTTTTAATTGATCAATTGACCAAATTTTTTTTTTAAAGAGAACAATATAGTTAAAAGATGAAATAATTAATAAAAATGAAATTTTTTACTTCATCTATAATTGTATTAAAAATAGTAAAAAATTTTTACGTGATTCATATAGTTATAGGTGATTAGGTTATTTTTAGTTATATTGATAGTTACATAAATAAATCACAACTATATATATAACTGATATTTATGATAATACTGGAATAAATTGAAGACAATAACAAGTATATATCCCATCGGTATTATGTATACACCGATGGATTTTTTTGTAAGCTATATGATTATTCACTTTAAAGACCCACGCGTTCAATTACGACGCCAATAGAAGAAATAGACACAAATCATTTACCCAATCAATTAATCCACAAAATTACAGAATGTTTCATGGGTGAAATAGGGATGAAAGAATAATGTGGAACGAAATGGATATGGAATGATAGGAGACGAAATAGTGGTGGGAAAATGATAGGAGGTGAAATAGTGATTAAAGGAACGAAATGATGATGAAAAAGCGATATAGAATGAAATGGTGATAGAAAAAATGATATAGGACGAAATGGAGATGAAAGAGTATATTGAATGAAATGGAGATGGAAAAAGAATGATAGGAGATGAGACAGTGATGGAAAAAATGATAGAAGACGAAACGGCGAGGAAAGGAACAGCATGGCATATTAAGAAAGAAACAAAAAAACCGTAAAGCCCAATAAAGTGAAAAGCCCGACCAAAAAAAAGAAAAAGATAGTTAGATTATAAAGAAAATAAATTTTCAATTCCAAAAGACCCAAAAAATAACTTACCATTTATTAGGATACTAATGCCAAAGCTTTAAAGTCGTTAAAAGATGGAAAGAACTACCTACAAAAAGTGACGAAGTGGAACAAATGGAGGTGGAAGTGACGAAATAAAATGAAAAGAAGAGAGAATAGTTAATATTAATGAAGGAAAAAAAGACATACACAACGTTAAGAAATATGTATAACTTACCGAAAGCTAAGGAAGCAACTACAAAAAAAAATAAAATCGCGTAAATATGATGAGTGACGCAATACAAATAAAAACATGTGACACTGGTGCTGAGCACCACTGGACCACTGATGATGTTTCATAGTAACTTATTATAACCAAATCCATATCCAGATTTTTGAATAATGATTTTAATTCAATGGTTTAGTTAAATTAATAATGTATTCGAGTAAAATGAGTATCAAAAGAAGAATAATAAATGAAATGAACAAATTCTAATACATGTTCAAATATTGTTCGCAAGTTGATTATAAGTTTAAGATTGACGTAATATAAAATAATAAGAAATAATTATAAAATTTATAATTAATTAATAAAAATATTTGTAGTACTTTCATAATATTAAAGTTTTTTCTAAATACTTCTAAAAAATTAGTTGATAATTATTTTTCCACAATTCCTTAATTAATCCGAATTTCATTCTACATTCAAACGTCAAATCATTAATATAAATAGCTATATTATTATAAATATAATTTAATACATATTATTTTATTATTTTTTGTTGACTAATTATTACCATATTAAATTCCTAATTATAAACAATAAAACTACTGTAACCATCTTTAATTTACTTAGTATTACATTATAATACTAAATTTTTCTATTTAAACAAACTCATTGGTCCCGGTGCGAAGCAACGGGTGACTGCTAGTATTTTAATAAATTTATTTGTAAAAAAAGACAAAATTTTGTTCTCGATCGTATTTTTGATAATTGGTCGATTCCACACGCAGAAGGTGCCGTCACACCAAGATCGGCAAATAGCATCTTAAAAAGATAAAAGCAAAAAAGTCTATTGTCAGCAAAATCAAATCAAAAAATAATATAAGAACACCTTTTTTCTCAAAACATAGTACTAATAGTAATAAACGATATCATTAAAAGTGGTTAAAAGAGTTTGCGTAAAATGACCAGGGCGAAAATAATATATAGTTCTTGCCTTTTTGGATAATTCAGGTTAATTAATTTTAACTAAATTTGATCATTATATTTAAATTACAGATTTTTAAACAGCTAAAACATAGCTAAAATTTAATTTAGAAAAAAAAATAAAAATTTTATTACTATTTTTAGATATTAACTGTGATTCTGCGTACAACGGACTACTCCTGGACAATATCTCTATATATTTTTCGGGTACTAATGGACTCATTATTTAAGGCAAAAGAGCGAACAATGGACCAATACGCGAAGTTCCTACTAACACACAGCAAGACAAAACTTCATACTAGGGTTAAAGACAAAGAATAAACAAATAATATTGTTTTAATTGCAAAGTGAAAGAATAGGATTTCAAAGTCACTCTTAAGCCCTGTAAAAAAAGTCGATCCGTTTTTTATATTCCATCTTATTTTCCCTAAAGGGCTCATATTTATCCCGGAATTTATCGAATTATTTACATTTTCCGTGAATGGATCCGTGAAAGGCTCATTTTACGGAGTTTTTACAGAAATAACGGATAAAATTTTTTTAGGAAAGTAATAGTACAATGAGAATAACATAATAATAAGACAGTCGAAGTTAAGAAGGATAACCTATCATAACCTGGATATAAGAATTTCAAGATGACCAGGCAATTTTGTTCTTATTAAGCAATGGCCAATACAAAATAGCAACAATCAGACAGGAAACAATTTTGGAAGAAGACCGATTTAATCAAACAAGAGAAGAAAATAAATGATATAAGGGTAGAGGTGCATCTTATGGCAATAGATACTGTATGATGTTATCAAACACGAACAACAAAAGGGAGAGATGGAGAAGGATGAAATTTAAAATAGTAATAAAAAAATGTATATTAATCGACTGAATATATAAAAGTTATATTAATACGATAAAATCAATTATGTTTGCATAGTATCTAATGATGAAACAGGATCTAAAAAAGAAAGTCTGTTAATCAAAAATAAATGGAACTTTAATATTTAGATGAAGTAACCAAATAATGTGATCGTAAGTTATCGAATGATTACCCCATCATATTACAAGGATATTTATTGAAAGAATAATAAAGTCACTCTTAATTTTTTTGTAATAAGGGATAAATGTTTTTAAGTTTTTTGCAGAAAGAAACGTAATATGACTAATGATGGTTTAACTCGTGTAAATAAATAATTGACTTACACTGATCATACATCAACTTTCAAATTATCAGAAATAACTAGCTATTTTATATCAATTTTTCTATTACTAATTTTGGTTAGGCATTTTAAGGTGTAGGTAAGTATTTTTCATTTCGTTAATTCTCTCTAAGCTTGTTTTCTTCATTCTTTGGTTTTCAGTTTGCTCTTTGTGCTCAGCTGGTTATTTTCGTCCGCTTTCTTCATCAATTCGTCTCTTTTCTTTTTTGGACTTTAGTAGTTAAATTGGTTTAAAATGAAATTGAAAAAATGAAAGCGAAAATGAAATATTACCTGATGAGAAAGCCCAACCAACCAAATCTTTTCCTTTTTAGATAATCAATTGTTTTATTAAGAACTTCAAATTTTACTATATCGGTATTTAGTCATGAGATAAATTATTATTGTCAATAGATATCAAAATAATTGCTAAAAGAAACGTCACGGTTTAATTACTGTATATGTTTCACCAAATACACAAATAATGTATGAATTTCAATAAGAAATCTAGATTCTAAAATTTAATAAGTTACATATTGAACTGGATTATTTATTTGACCTTGGCAAAAAAATAAAAATATAACTCATATAAATTTATTATAAATAAATACACAAAATCAACTACATATGGGGATCTTTTATAACCGTCTTAAATGAATAATAAATAATCAACTATACTTTAAGCTAATATAAATAATGTTTTTAAAGTAAAATATGTCGAATGTGTTCCTTTTGCCATAGCATATTTTGAAAATTTCAACGAATTAATTTTATAAAATATGATTATTGTTAATTTAATAATCTTCAATTGAACTATTAAATAACAAATTTTCAGAGTATTTCAGTTTTAACTAGAAATACCAAAATAATTAGTTTCATATCTTAAAAAAAATAATGATGTAAAATGTCATTAAAATTAATACTTACTGCAAAAATCATCAGAATCACAACTAGCTTGCACATTTGAGGCCGAAGTTGAACTATTATCTGAACGATAACTAATTTGAGATTCTGAATCTTAATACAAATTTTATCGTTAATAATCAGTAAATTATAACTTAATAAAACAAAATTTATTAATATATAAACACATTACAAATACCTTTTCTTAATTTAATTCCAACAATCATCTTTTTAAATTCATTCAATACTTCCTTAATATCTGGCCTTTGTTCGGGCTCTTGCCTCCAGCAATTTTTGTAAAGATTTTCATATTCCTTAGGGGTATCGGGAACTGGAGTTTCTCGAATTCCACTAATAACAGAAATAGCAACTGTTTTATTATCACAATCTTTAAATGGAGGTTCTCCACTGGAAATTTCCCACATTAATACACCAAAGCTATATATGTCTGAAGGTTTAGTATATTTGTAATTTGGATCTGATAAACGCTTTGGCTCAATATAAGAAGCAACACCAATAGTGCCAATAAAAGTTGTTGTATTATCTTGAATTTTTGAAATACCAAAATCTGTAATCTTAGCATTATCATCATGAATAACAATATTCTTTGAATGCTAAAATAAAAAAAAGTCAATGTTGACAATCAACAATAATTGCTATAGCAAATAAGAATAATACTTACAAGATCTCTATGTAAAATATTTTCGTTATGTAAATAATTTAATCCTTCTGCAATTTGAAATGCTAATTTTTTCTTATTATCCCAAGTTAATTTCTCAAAATTTTCTTTGAGATAATTTTGTAAATCACCACCATTAGCGTATTGCATTATAAGGAAATGATCATTCGTTTTTTGATCTAAATTAAGAAATTTATTAAAAAAATAATTATAATAATAAATATACGTAGTACAAATAACTTTTTAAATTACCAATACTAATGCCTAAGCAACGCACAATCCTTTCACTATAATCAAGTCGCAAATGTATTTTTAATTCATGAATAAATTCGTCTAGTAAATCATGCTTTATGTTAGTTGCTTTAGTCAATTTTTTACAAATGACGTTATCATTTAGTTTGTTCCAAATTGCTTTTGAAATTTGTCCAAACCCTCCTTGTTTAAATGATTCAACATTTTCTAATTCATTATAAGGTATCAATTTAATTTTTTCATGATCTATGGCATCTTCAATCCAATTTTTCGCATTGATTATATTTACATTTTCATTTTTTACTTCTTTAAAACATTCAAATACTAATTTAACATTACCCTTTATCAATCCAGTTTCATCTTCTATATTATCTTGGTTTATTGCTGCTCTTTCATACCAATAATAAGCTTTTATTTCATCTTTTTCAATACCAATTCCTTTTTCATAGTAGAGATTAAGTTTCTTTTGTGCATAAACATATCCTTGTTCAGCTGATTTTTTAATCCATTCAAATGCTTTAACATCATTTTTATCAGTACCTATTCCATTTTCATAATATAAACCTAAATTGTATTGCGCAACTTTATACTCATTGTTTGCCGAAATTTGATACCAATCAAAGGCTTTATGTTCATCCTTTTCAATTCCAATTCCTTTTTCATAACATAAGCCCAAGTTATATTGCGCATATTTATTTTCATCTGCTGCTTTTTGATACCAATAAAAAGCTTTAATTTCATCTTTTTTAATGCCAATTCCATTTTTATAATATGATCCTAAATTACATTGTGCATATTTATTTTCTTTTTCTGCTGCCTCTTGGTACCAATAAAATGCTTTTTCCAAATTTTTTTCAATTCCAATTCCATTTCCATAAAAAAAACCAAGTAGATTTTGTGCATCACTATGCCCTTGCTCAGCTGATTTTTCAAACAAATTAAATGCTTTAAATTTATCTTTTTTAATATAACTTCCATCTTCACAGTATAAATCTAATAAACTGTATCGAGCAGATTCATTTCCATTTTCCTCTGCTTTTTGATACCAATAAAATGCATTTTCAAAGTCTTTTTCAACCAATTTATAAAAATCACCAAGCTCATTTTGTGCATTACTATATTCTTGTTTAGCTGATTTATAAAACCATAAAACCGATTTAATTTCATCTTTTTTAGTGCCAACTCCATTTTTATAACACAAACCTAATTTGTATTGCGCATATTTATCTTTACTTTCTGCTGCTTTTTGATACCAAAAGAAAGCTGTATCCTCATCTTTTTTAGTACCAATTCCATTTTCATAAAAATGACCAAGTTTATTTTGTGCAAAACTATAGTCTTGTTTAACTAATTCTTTAATGTATTCAAATGCTTTAATCTCATTTTTTTCAATACCAATTCCATTTTCATAACATAAACCTAAATTATATTGTGCAAGTTCATTTCCATTTACTGCTGCTTTTTGATACCAATAAAAAGCTTTTTTCAAATCTTTTTCAACTCCATTTCCATTTTCATAAAAAAATCCAAGTTTATTTTGTGCATTAGGATATTCTTGTTTGGCTGATTTTTCAAACCATTCAAATGCCTTAACATTATCTTTTTTAATACTATTACCAATCCCTTTTTCGTAACATAAACCTAAATTATATTGTGCAAATTTGTTTCCACTTTCTGCTGCTTTTTGATACCATAATAAAGCTTCTTTAAAATTTTTCTCAGTACCAATTCCATTTTCATAGAAATATCCAAGTTCATTTTGTGCATTACTATAATTTTGTTTGGCTGATTTTTCAAACCACAAAAGTGCCTTAATTTTATTTTTTTCAATACCAATTCCATTTTTATAGCATAAACCTAAATTATATTGTGCATTTTTATCTTTATTTCTTGCTGCTTTTTGGTACCAATAAAAAGCTCTAATTACATCTTTTTCAACACCAATTCCATTCTCATAGAAATGACCAAGTCTATTTTGTGCAGTATTATGTTCCTGTTCTGCTAATTCTTTAATGTATTCAATTGCTTTTTGATACCAATAAACAGCTTTAACTTCATCTTTTTCAATGCCAATTCCATATTCATAACATAAGCCCAAGTTATATTGTGCACATTTATTTTCATCTGCTGCTTTTTGATACCAATAAAAAGCTTTAACTTCATCTTTTTTAATGCCAATTTCATTTTCATAACATAAACCTAAATTATATTGTGCAAATTTATTTCCATTTTCTGCTGCTTTTTGATACCAATAAAAGGCTTTAACTTTATTTTTTCTAATACCAATTCCATTATCATAACACAAGCCTAAATTATATTGCGCATCTTTATCTTTTTCTGCTGCCTTTTCATAATAATAAAAGGCTTTAACTTCATTTTTTTTAATTCCAATTCCATTTTCATAACATATACCTAAATTACATTGTGCAAATACATTGCCATTTTCTGCTGCTTTTTGGTACCAATAAAAAGCTTTGGCATCATCTTTTTCAATGCCAATTCCATTTTCATAAAATAAACCTAAATTATATTGTGCAGATTCATTTCCATTTTCTGCTGCTTTTTGATACCAATGAAAGGCTTTTTCCAAATCTTTTTCAACTCCAAACCCATTTTCATAAAAAAAGCCAAGTTTATTTTGTGCACTAGTACATTCTTGTTTGGCTGAAATTTTATACAATTCAAATGCTTTTATAAAGTCCTTTTTAGTACCAATTCCATTTTCATAACATTTGCCTAAATTATATTGTGCAAATTTATTTTCGTTTTCTATTGCTTTTTGGTACCAATAAAAAGCCTTTTCTAAATTTTTTTCAATCTTTTCATAAAAATTGCCAAGTTGATTTTGTGCACCACTATATCCTTGTTCAGCTAATTTTTTAAACAACTCAAGTGCTTTAGGAATATCTTGTTCGGTACTAATTCCAGTTTTATAATGCATGGCCAATTTGTACTGTGCATCTTCATTTTCTCTCGCTTCTGAATACTTATTAAAAACACTATTTTTTTTCTGTTCTTCAGTCATTATTTAGATAGATAATTCAAATGATACTAAAATACAAATACAGTAATTATATACTTTGCAGAAACCTATTGATTTTGAAAAATATGGTAAAAATATTTTTAAAATATGATTGACATATTGCGTGTACATTTCTGTTAACTCTGTTGTAACTCGATAACGGCAATATGTTGAACATATGTTAAAAAACACATGATTAAAATATGTTTAAAATATGTTTACTATATATCAAAAATATGTCAAAATTTATGAAAAAAATGTGATATTTATATTTTTATTATATATCAAAAATATCATTATAATATATTGCAAGTAATACAATTTATTATATATTAAAAATACACTAAAATATTACAATTATACATTTTACATTGAAATTATAATAAAAACAAAACTATTATAATGCCTTCACTGCACAATTTTTGATTTGGATCATTGTGATTTATTCGCAAGGAAATTTCCAAGTCAAATCATGTGACTTCTGATTCTCCTTTCTGTACGACCCTCTCAATGATAAGGAAACAAAATTATTACTGTACTTTTTTGTATGTTCGCCATTCTCACATCTTATCTCCCTTTTGCAACTCTCCTGGTCACTTCCTTTCCATCTCATTTGGAGGTCACACTTATTCTTCTGCGATTTTCTTCAGACTGTTAAATACTATAAGTTGCGGGTAGGATAATAAATAGTAGTAGTAATTAGTCTAGATTTCTTGTATGATATTTTGCAATACACTGTAGGTTATTTTTATTAGTATATTTGCTTGTTTGTGGACGTGTAAATTTTCAATAAGTAATTTTATTTCTATTTATACAATACAAGATGCTTGATCATTTAAAAAAAAAGTAAAGTCAAAACATTAGTAAGAAATTCGTTAAAGAAATAAAACCAAAGGAACTTCCAATACTTACCAAAATCTACAAATCCAAGGTTCCATTGCCTAAAAATGAAATAAATAAAATTGAAATTTTAATAAAATGCTCAATAAAGAAAATTTTTTAAAAAAAATTCTGAAGATTCTTACAATAAATTAAGTGTATGCACAACTGTTTAAAAAAAAGAAATAAATAAACTGTTAGTAAAGTTCGCTAAAAATAAAAAAAATTTAATAAAAAATTTTGAGACTAACCAAAATCCTGAGCTAAGAAACTAAAGAGCTGCTAAAAAAGAAAAAATCAAAATGTTACAAATGACAGTTCGTCAAAGAGGTCCTGCACATCCAAAGTAATTCAGCCAGTTCAGTTGCCTAAAAAGAAGAAACAAATGAACATTTAGCAAAAGTTTATTAAAAATATAAAATAAACAAATAATAAAATCACACCCTAAAAATCTGCAACTACAAAAGAAAGAAAAATGAAAGGATGTTGATAAATGTTTCATTTCGTCAAAAGTGAAAAAAAAAAGATAAAAAAGTTACCAAAAGTCCACATCTAAAGAGACAGCATCCAAAGAGGCCAGACATGCCATAATAAGAGCTACAAAAGAAAAAAATCAAAACATTAATAAATATTTGTTAAAATAGAAATTCTAAAAAAAGAAATACCCACTCAATTCCAACGCGCACAAAGATTTAAAAACTTGCTAAAAAAGAGAGTAAATTGTAACATTAGTAAAATGTTTTGAAACTTTTAAAAACTTCCGAATACCCTTACCAAAAATCAACATATCTGAAGATACCATTATCTAAGAAATGTTTCGTTGCTATAAGATAAATAATTAAAAAAAAACTTCCTACTGTACTCACATTCTAAATACCATAGAACTAAGCCATCTAAGAATTAAGAAAACAACCATTAAAAATTATTTGATAAAAAACAAAACAATTAAAGAAAACAAAATTGACAAATTCTACTGGAGGAGCTGAAAGAATTACCTAAAAAAAGCTTCCAGTTTCAGCATTTGAAGGGTATTTAACAATATGTTACGCTACTATTGGAATATCTTCCAATCATTTCTGTTGATACTCTGCATTAATTATATATCTGGAGATTTGAAAAATATGAATCTGTGAAGAAACTGCTCTTATCTCCTTTTCCTTATCATTTTTTACACAACAAAATATACTTACGCCTAATACTAAACAACCTCCTACTATTTATTGTACCAAAGTGAATTTCAAATGAATGAAATTCAATATGGAAGCTAAAATCAAAATGTAAAATGTTAAAGAATTTTTGATTTTCTCTTGTGGGTACTTTTCACTTTTTTTTTAAAACTATGTATGAGAGAGAGGAGGGAATGATTGAAAGAAGGAAAATAGGAAATAGAGAGTAAAAAATAACAAAGTGGTGACCATATGGTGTTGAAATATATTATAACATTGATAAAGTGTTAGAAAAAATTAAAAGAATAGTTAAAAGTTTAAATAAGAAAATAAAATAAAATAAACTTTGTTAAAAAAAAGAGTTAAAAAAAGTTTAAAAAAAAAAGACCAAACTGCGGATTTATTATTAGTATTGCTTTAATCAGGTTAATCACATGATACACGTGATTCTAAATTAATATAAATATAGGGCTTTTGCCGATATTTTTTTCAGTATTAAAAATTTTTTATATTATTATTGGTGTAAAAAGTAAGAAAGAATGAAAAGTTAGTAAGGAATATTTTAGTCTGACCGCCAGCGGATAAGTGAATGAAACACTAACATTATGTTAGGAACCTCCTTAATGAACCAAATTAAGGAGAAGTAATTCATCATCTTAAAGTGCGTGGTTAATCAGGTTAAAATAGGAGAAAGATATGTTAAATTATATTACAGAGATTATATGAATTTTGCCATATGTAATTGATATTGTAGCTATATTTTATTCATGTGTTAATTATATTTCAAAGATTTTATGAATTTTGATATAGGGAATCGAAATAGTAGCTATATTTTATTCATTCTTAGAATTCACTAATATCATTAATTTAAGTTTATATTTTATATTTAATATATTTCAAAATATTGTAATAACTGTTTCGCTAATATCAATCATATTTTAATGCATTTCAAAATATTGTATTCATATTACGAAAATATTTGTTAATTCAAGTTCATCTTTAACATATTTTGAAAATATTGTAAAATTGTTTTGTTCATATTACAAAAATATTCACCAATATCATTAATTCTCGTCATTTTTTATGTCTAACATATTTTACGAAAACTAGAGTTTTCTGCAAAGAATATTAAAATATTTTTTTATTATATATCAAAAATATGACTATTATCTAACAGCATAAATCAAGGAAATTACGAACATGTTTTATACATCTGTTGATCATCTCATAATTATATAACATGTACTAAAATATTTTTTTTATATATCGAAAATATGACTGCTATCTAACAATTATATGTTTATCATATTTATGAAAATTGAAGGTTTCTGTAAAGTAGGTTTTACTGCATTTGATCGTCATTCAATTTTAGAATTTCCATGAGGATTCCATGGAATTGCGGTACAGTAGTACAGCGCGTTAAGTTTCAAAATGGTTAAAATTGATGTCGATCATCATGTACAAGAAAAAACAATGTAACACAGAATTAACGCAAATGATTGGCAGTCACGTGATATTTTATCACGTAATATGATTTTACATATTTTTTCTCGTTTTTATATGATCTAATGATAAATGATTGAAAACAGAAAAGGTCCTACAAAAAAGGGAAAGAAAATTATTAAAACTTTTTTTTTGAATTATATTAAACACATGAGTTTGGTTTATTGGTGTTTTACGTATCAAAACATGATACCTACAAAAAAGAAACAATTTGAATAAAAAAAAATAAATAAAAGTTTCGAAGTATATTACTTAAAAACTTACAATCCACTGTCCAAAAGAAGCTTATTAAAGCCAAAATCATATAAAAAAAAAGGAAAGGAGATTTCTTAAAAATATAAAAAGAAATGGCATGTACAGTCATCCTCCCATATAGTCACCCCTCGTATAATCACAACTCCCTTATAAGCACATTTACATTAATCCCAAGTTACTAATAAACTTATTAAAAAACCTTCCCTTTAATCACATCATATATAATTTTTATAGTCACACCATTTTTTTTTGGTCCCGAAGGGTGTGATTATATGGGAGGATGACTGTACATTTAAGTGTTTGTCCGAGTAGTCTAAAAAACCTACCAACTCTATTAAAATGGAAGGTATAATGCTTACTTTAAAAAAAACAAAAAATAATATAAAATGGCATATACTTTCTCTTTGAAATGCCCTTTAAAGTCAAAAAAAAAGAAAAGTCAAAGTCGAAATTTTTTTAAAAAAGGTCTCGATTTAACCAAAACTATAGATATTTGATACAATAAGTATATTCAAAATTTTTATTAAGAATACATTATGGGTTCATATAAGTAATTATCCCAAAATTACCAAAATAAGATTTTGAATTTTGACCATTTTGAATTTTTGATATAAAATAAAAATTTGTAATTTTAGCATACCATAATGAATAACAATATTTTTGGAACGCTAAAGGTAAAAATAATTAGATTTTCTAATAACGATAATAATAAAATGTACTTACTAGTAGGGTTGGATCAGTCCGATCCAGTCTTGTCCGGCCCCAAAAGATCAATCTTTCAGCCAGGACTGGAGAACTGTCCTTTAGGTTGTTTCAAATTTATTTTATTTATAATGGCGGTATAGTTAGAAACAATGAAATAAAGGGCACTAAAAATTTTGACATAAATTACCTTTGTCTCCATTATTATCTAAGTATTGCACTATGGCTCGAATTAAATCTCAAAGAATAAGATACCGCTCCATTTTTGGCAAAATTTTAAAAATTTATACTTTTTACATTGAAAGAGGATTCTGATGTGCTGTAACTTTGTTACCGCTAGCGAGTGCTGTCAAATTACTTAACACTAATGTTTCTGCTAAGTGTGTCGTATCTCTGTTTTTAAATATTATAGAGTTTTGAAAATTTGGAATTTTTTTAAGTAAAAGTCAATAATATTAATTGATGATTATAAAAATGCTTACTAATAATAAATTTATATACTAGGAAACGGGATTTGCGATTTCATTGAGCGACGATCATGTGGCGGACAGAGAAATTCACGTGATCAAGTTTTTTTTCATAGTGCGTACTGCGTAGACATATATTGCCCTTCGCTTCGTTCACGTGGTTATATAAAAATAAAAAATATTGCCCTTCGCTTCGCTCCGGACAATGAGACTATACATTTTATTTTTATTTTTATTTCATAGAGTAAAAAGTTTCAGTAACGATTGCAAAGATACTACACAATTTAATCAAAAGTAATATAAATAAACTAATTTTTATTTTATTTTATTAATATAATCGTAGACTGGGACAATGGAGTCTAAATATACATCAGCGTTATAAACCCAAACCCCCAGCGGCAGCGTCGTGCCTGTTATTTAAATATCTGAGGCGTGACCTTATATCTAAATCTATATCGTAAAATAAAATGTTTATGTACTGTATATCCTCAGAACAAATTTCTATCATCTATAATGTGTAAAAGTAAAACTATATAATAAAAACAACTTCCGCCACATGGAAAAAGAAAAATGCCAGGAAGAAGTAAAGAAAGAATAATTCGAGCCACCTAAGTGACTCTGCGACGAATGTGTAGTTGTAATCGAGGTTGGATCTTCTCAGGATGAGTTGTCGTAACCGGTGACGTAAAGTATGTAGGTCTGTTTATGTTGTTTATCATTGGTTGTTTAAAATAAGTTCTGGAAGGTTTTTTTCTTTGTATAAAATTTTGCCTATATGGGAAATTTCAGTGATTAGCATGAGATGTAATTGGTTCGATTTGAATCCAAGGTATGACAACGTATTCATGATAAACAATATGCGTTCATGTTGTGCACGTTCCCAAGCTGGGTAGAGAGAGGCAAAAATTATCTTTTGACCCTGTACGACATCCTTTTTTGACTTTCCTTTATGTAATACAGTATATGCGGGTCAAAAAAATAAAACGAGGAGGGTCAGAAAGGTAATTTTTGCTAGAGAGAGAGGATGTTGTTCTATCATACCCCAAGAACACCACCAAAAAATTTTCGGTAACGCGACTTTGTACTACTAATCTAAAAATAGTAGATATCCCAACTGTTTTGTATTCGCGTGTTTTTTCCAGTAATTTTACCTTGAAATATATTATTCTTTTTTATTATAATTTATTCTATTCTATTCTTTTTATTACTATTATTTAATTATATATATAACACGAAGATTTGTTGTTAAATTTCTAAAATAATAAATAATTTATTCACTTATTTTAATAAAAAAAAATCAACAATAAATTTTATAAAATGAAAAGGACTATAACTGATAAGAAATATTTAAATTAAACGTTTCTTTATATATTTTTTTTTTAACAAAAATTTACAAGTATTTTTAAGATAAATGTTCCCTCACTTTATTTTTTTCTTGAGAAAAGCCGCGAAATTTTTCCAGTATAAAATAAATCCGACCAATAAAACTCGTCAAGTCACGTTACCGAAAATTTTTGGTGGGACACCAAATGTCACGTGCCCGAGCTTTTTTGATGGTTACACTGGAGAGTTCTCATGATTGACATCAACTCTAACCATTTTCAAATCGGAAGAACCTTTTAGTATTTGCAGAATCCGAATATCTGCTGATCTGCAGAATGCAGCTTTATATAGAACGTATATATAATATAAATTCGCGGATATTGTCCTAATTTATGCTTGTATTACAAAATATTATTTATAAAATTTGGGCATGTAAATTTCTTCTTTTATTAAATTAAAAAAAAATATGGCAAAAAAAACTGATACGGCGACTGAAACAACTACTGCTGTAACTGACACCATTATTAACACTGTTGAGCTAGCAACATCAGTAGCTATTCCTCTTTCACAATTCATTCCGCTCATTAAAGATGTATCTGAAATTTTTTCGAAAGTCACGGATTTATATAGGTCGGCTCATCATAATAAAAATATTACCAGGATTTTGATGGAACGTATCTCTGCAGCAAACACCTGTGTTAATATTTTACTATCAAGAGAAGATTTATTAACTTCGATTTATTATAAAAATTTACAAAGATTGGTTCAAGTCCTTCATAATATGAAAAAATTCATTGAAGAGATAACACAATATAATACAGTGCAAAAGCATTTAGGAGCTAAAAGGATTGATAATGAATTTAAAGAATTATGTAAAGAATATGATAGCAGTATGACTTTGTTAAGTTTTAACCTAGTATTGGTCAATTTTAATACTGAAAATGAAGATAAAATTGTGAAAGAAGATGTAGAACAACTTGTAAAATTTCAAGAAGCTTTACTAGAAAGTATGACCGATGTGAAACAAATTGATCAGATCGTCGAGCAAGTCAGTGAAATGGCAATAACTATGCAAAAAATGGACAGTAAAAAAGAAGATGCAGATCAAATTCAAAACAAAATCGATATCATCTTTCGTACTGATAAACTTCCATTCGAAGATTATAAAGAAGCTGACGAAGATAGTATACGTAGTGACAGATTGAGAAAATACATTCATGTAAAAACTAAAGAAGAATTTGCATTTAAAGTTGTAGATCAAGATCATATTAATGATGTTAAGAATCAAGTCACAATTCTTATAAAACTTAAAGATTGTCAAAATATTATCGATTTCTATGGTCTTACAAATAATGGAGTTAAAACTTATTTAGTAACTGAATGGGCAGAAAATGGAAACCTACGTGAGTATATTCTTGACCAATATATTGACTTAAAATTGAAAATAAGAATTGCTTATGATATCGCTAAAGGGTTGAATTTCCTTAATTCTGTCAAGGTTAGAATTACATTTGTATTTACTTTTTTCGTGTCAAATTTCGGACCTTAAAATATTATATGTATTTTTTTCGATAGATGGTTCATCGAGATATTAGATCTGAAAATATCGTAATTACAAATCACGGAATCGCTAAAATTACAAATTTTAAATTTAGTAGAAGATTTGGTGAAGCTACTAGTAATATATCTGTAAATAAAGAATGTGTTCGGTACAGTGCTCCCGAAATGTTAAGAAGAGGAATTTCGGGAGAAAAAGAAAAAAATGACAAATATTCTATCAAGTATGACACCAAATGTGAAGTTTATAGTTTTGGTATTCTCCTTTGGGAGATTGCTGAATGTAGAATTCCATACGAGCAATTTGAAGATTTTATGGTAATTAGAAGGAAAGTATTAGATGGATATCGAGAAAAATTTACACCTGGTACTGGTATTCCGAAGAAATATCAAGATCTTGTAAATAGATCTGTTGATCAAAATCCGGGCTTTCGACCTACATTCTCAAAGATGCTAACAGTTCTTCAGGATATTTTCAGAAGTCTTGAGGATCATGATCCTAATAGTAACAAACTTCCACCCGTACGAAAAATGATTCAGTGCACAATTGTAGCAGCAGCAGAAGATTGTGAAATTAACTGGGATTCATTTAACACAATTCGGGATTCATTCAAACTTCCAATAACTCCTCCCGTACGAAAAATGACTCAAAGTACAATTGAAGCGATAGAAGATTGTGCAATTGATTGGGATTCATTTGATTATATGACGCTTGATAAAGCAATTGAATATCATAAAAACGAGGGCAAGGATAAGCAAATATTATATAAGTGCTTTGATACTTATGCTGAAATGGATAATCCACTAGCAAAATATTGGAAAGCTTATTATATTTCAAAAGGTTGGTCTAATCTTGAATGTTCAGATCAAGAAAAACATAAATTATCTGTTCAATTATTCAAAGCAGTTGCTGATTATGGTGATGAGTATCCTGATGCTCAAGTCCGTTATGCAGCAATGGTAATGCAAGGCAAAGGTGTCAAACCAGATAAAGATGAAGCGATTAAATATTTTCTTAAAGCTGCTAAAAATGGACATCTCGTAGCTATGTTTAACGTTGCCACTTATTACTACTCTAGACACGAAAATGAATTAGGGAATTATTATATGATAAGTGCTGCTAATAAGGGCTACGAACAAGCAATTAACTATTGTAAAAAGAAAAATATTTCTTATTAATGATAGATTTATTGTATAAAGTTTTATATTTGTACTCCAATAAGTATTAGAAAATTACACTCTTAAATCTAGGATTCTCGAGGAAGATATAGGAATATAATAGCGGGAGGGTTCAATTTTAGCTAGAATTTTTTATGGATATTAAATAAGTATTAACCGAGCTTAAATTACTGTAGTAGTAACTATTCGAGTGGTTAAATAAGTCAACATATTTAATTAAATCCAATTATGCCGTAGCTTGCTTTGAAAATATTATATGTTTCTTAAATTTACTATGTATGTAATAAACAACTACTATAAATACATTATTTTGAAATATTATTAATTGTTTTTTTAAGTCACGTAAAAATTCTTCGCAGTTTTTTGTCAGTTATAATGAAATCCATAAATTTTAATAATTTCATATACATTAACCTAAGATGACAAGCAATACCAAATTTTATTACGAAAAATATTATTCCTTTGTCCAATATGCGTGCGAGATCGTTAATAGCATTAATTAATTATCTTCTATCATTTTATTACTTTTGTAATATTTTTGAAGGGTGATGCAGCTTTGGTCAAGCTATCGATTATTGTTGATGTAATAGTGTAAATATATAAATGAAATACCATTAACAGAAAAAATTATCTTTAAATTTAGAATAGTAAACATGTTAACATGTATTTCTCAATATGCAGTTCATTTAAACCCAATTAGCCGAAATCAATATGGCAATATTTCTTATCTCTATTGTGTGATTATGTCTGCTGAGGTTCCGTTTAAAGATATTAAATCGTCATCGTATGCAGTATTTCAATTAGTAATTATATTATAAATTATGTCTTTTTTTTATTTCATTTAAAAGAGATTTCAAATTAAATAATCCTGCTTCAGTCTATTACTAGGATTAAGTAATGTAAAATAATACAATTAAAAGGATATTACATTATAAAAAAAAAGGAATGTTTAAATTAGGAATACTCTTAAATTACGAAATGAATATTTTTGAAAAAATCTAGTCAAACTAAAGCATACTCAATAGTCGTCATGGCAATACGTGCATCATATAATTTCTCTTCTTATATATGATCTTTATCCTCAACTATAATGCCTTCCTTCACTATAATTTTCTCAGTTATCTTAAAATACTACCAGAATAACTATTACTACCAGACCTAATATAAATCCCATACGTACCGGCTAATTTTTCTAATTCAATATATCCGTCCAGCTAAAGTATAACGGGCTTTGCTTTTTTACTTTTTTTTATTTTTTAATATTTTTTTTCGGTTCTTATAATTCTGGAAATTTATTAGATACCTTTTTTTTGATTCTTATAAACTGGGAAACTTTTTTAAAACTGAAAAAATTTTTTAATTTGTTTTATTTTTTCGGTCTTTTATTTTTTTAAGTTTCAATAATAATTAGAATTAATAAAAAAGACTTTTTTACTATTGTTATTATAACTAATAAAAAGACAAAAAATTTGGTACAACATTAAATAATAAATATTTTTTCATTCCTTTGTATTTAATCATTCTTAAATGAGATTTTTTAACTTTCTCAAATCTTTCTAGTTGATCAATTGACCAAATTTTTTTTTAAAGAGAACAATATAGTTAAAAGGTGAAATAATTAATAAAATTGAAATTTTTTACTTTATCTAATAATTGTATTAATAGTAAAAATTTTTTTATGTGATTCATATAGTAATATAGTTACAGGTTGATTAAGATAGCAATATTATTTTTAGTTAGTTACACATATAAGCATTTTATATATATCACATTACAAACTTTTTAATAAAGAAAGGAACAAATCCATTATATATAACTGATATTTATGATAATACTGGAATAAATCGAAGATAATAACATAAAATCCTTTACAAATTTTGAAAATTTAAATCATTTTCTATTTTGAAAATTTAAATAAATAAAATAAATATCATTAAAAATTATTTTTATATTTTTCAGTAATGAATTACAAAAGAAAAATTCGCATAGATAAAAAATATATTAGTCACAGGAATAATAGCATGATATATTACGTTTCTTATATGATATAACAGTGTAAGCTATAATATGATATTGTTTTATAATTAACGGTTAAATGTTAATAAAATAAAAAAATTATTTACACATAGTCGCCATTATTTTTTCATTATAGATTGTTTTCTTTGCTTATTTATATAATATATTTATGCACATAATTTATCATATATATTGATTAAAAACGTTAGTGCGATGCAGCGGGTCACTTTTACTAAGGAAAATCTAAGAAATGTATTTAAGCTAGTCACATGATTTGATAGTTAATATTTCCGCACGTCCTTTCAAACACATCAAATGCATGATCTAATGCTATAATATTTAAGAAATTAACGGTCCCGTCTTTGTAATGTGTTGTCAAATCTCTGGAGGATTTTTGCAATGTTCTATCATAACCTACCGAATTAATGGTGCTAACCCAAAATAACCTTCTTAGTATAGCGATAGTATTTAAAAAGCTCCTAATCCAGTAGGAAATTCGAACATTTTATAAAACTAAGACAAATAAATATGGTTAAGTTTCTTTATTAGGGTGCAGATGGAAAGTAACCGCATCTAACAAAACTAATGTTATTGATTTTTGGTATTTAATTTCCTGGTTTTACTAATTTAATTTGAAATTACATTGAGCTGGATAAGCGAAAAGATTTTATGTAATTTCATCATCTTTTTCATGTTCATTACCATAGTAATAAGATTCGTTATTAGCTGATGTATTGTTTATCATTTCTTTTACATCATGTTCAGTTACACCTTGAATATTTTCCGGGTTGATTACTTCTAGAAATTTTTTTACTCATTAATACTATTAAGTGGATCTCTTAGATGTTTATAGATACTCCCTTCTGTCCAGGGAAACATCTCACCGGTCAGTTTAATAGTAGCCATAGATTTGAGCGAAGATTACATTATAATCATCTTCACCAGCACTAAAATATCTAAGGATTCATATACAGTATATACCTTTTATTCATCCCTATGAAAAAAGTCTGTGTGATTTTTGTTGAAAAATCATTCAATTAAATTCACTACGATTTCTGTATATTTGACCATACAATAATTGTGCTAAAAATTGCAATAAATCACACAATTATTGCATGGTAATTCATTCAATAATTATCCTATTTTTGACCTGAATTTATACAATTATTGTGTGATTTTTGAGCCAAATTTTAGGCCATATTTTAGGAATTATAGGTTAAATTTTACAGTAATAACAGGCAATTTATAAAGT